ACACACACACACACACACACACACACACACACACACACACACACACACAGAAAGAAGAGCTCATCTCATTCGGTGATCCCCTGAGCTGTTGAGTCTGTGCTTCACTGACAGCCAAGCCCACTCTGCCTCTGTTGACTCTCAGTGACAYGCTGCGCTGCACACGCTGCACAAAGCTAAATGTGACTGTGCGATCAGAATCCACCCGGGCCTTGATTGCTGCTTGTTAGTTAGGAGCCGATGCTCGACTCTGACTCAGCAGTCCCTGTCTTTATTTATATATTTTTTCTAAATAGAGCCTGATCATCATCAGGAGGAGAGTCCAGCTCTGCTCCTGCCAGCCAGGGCCAAATGGATCGGACCAGATGAGCTCGCTGCTTGTGCCAGCACTCAGCAGATCTCTCCTCTCGCTGACCTATCTGCCTACAGCAGGGACGGTGTCAGAACCGTGGTTTTAATCACTAACTGTGTGTGTGTGTGTCTGCAGAGCCTCGATGTGCATTGCAGCGATTCCTAATTAGTTTATTTGAGTGCAATCTCAGCTGCTTTCATCGCTTCGCTGTCAAGAAAAACAGCTATGAAACTAAAAAAGTAAAGCTTTTTTTTTTTAAAATACGGTGCTCTTTGTAAGACATGCATTAGCACGTTGTCAGGATGGTGCTGATGTTTAAAGAAGTATTTCTGTTGCTGCTTGGCTAAAGAAAGCAGAGGAGGTTTGGAGTGTACAAAAATGTGCCCTGAGACATCTGAATGCACTGAACAGATTAGAAAAAGACTCTGTGCAAAAATCTTACACCATTCTTCTTTACAGGTTGGTGGGAAATAAGTGCATAATTTTACAGAAATGTAATAAAGGCTAGAACAGATTGTAGAATTCAGTCTTTAGGAGTAGTTCTGGTTTCTCTTCTGTGTGTATTGATGTTTTTTGTCTGTAAAGATGATCATACATGCTTCACTCTGCAAATCCAGGATTTTTTCTGATTTTTTTTTTTACTTTTAGCTAGTCCTTTATTGTTTAAATTAGCCTGTAGGTACCTATGGTTGGCCTTTAGCTACACTTGGCTAGCATTTTGTTGCTTTTAACTAACATTTAATTACTTTTGGCTCTCCTTTTGTGTATTTATTTGTTTGATTAGAACAATGCACATTAACTAACATTACAACAATTCACGGCAGTGTAAAAATGCAAGAATTAGCACAATAGCTAAATTTCATCATTTGTCCTAGACAAGTAAGCCCAAAAAACAGAAAACCTTACTATACAATTCACAGAACAAAACGGTACAAAAAAAGATTTAAAAGAAAAATAAACAGATTTAAAATGATCTAAAAGCAAGATAAAAACAATCTTTGCTTTTGGCTAACCTTTAGTTACTTTTGGCTGGTATTTACTGGTAGCTACTTTTAGGTAGCATTTTGATTCATTTAGCTAGTCTTTAGCTACCTTTTATCTAACATTTTGTTGCTTTTATCTAACTTTTAATTACTTTTTGCCAACCTTTAGTGATTTGAGCTAGCCTTTGTTTGATCTCACTTAGCCCTTTGTTGCTTTTAGCAAACCTGCTGCTCTCACTGAACTTTTACTTAATTTTAGCTAGGTTTTCAACACTTTTACTCAACCTTTTGTTCCTTTTAGCTGGCCTTTTGCTACTTTTAGCTATTTTTGTGTTACACTTAGCTAGCTCTTTGATTATACTTTTATAAGTATTAAATGTTTTGCTGCTTTTATCTATCATTATGTTACTTTTAACTTTTAGCTAGCATTATGTTACTTTTAACTTTTAGCTAGCATTATGTTGCTCTTGGCTGTTTGCCCTCGGTTGTTTTTAGCAAACAAAACATCTGAACCTCCACCCTGCAGCGTAGATGCCCCGGGCCGGTTCTCACTTGGGAAGCCTTCTCAGCCCAAAGCCTGGACAGTTCTCCAGTTCTCCAAACTTCTTTCAATTAAACTGAATTGATCTAAGTGCGTGCCATGAGTAAAAGGTTTACTGTCCAGATGTGGTGTCACTTCATAGATTCTGTTTGGGACTAAAAGTTTACTTGTTTGTGTTTCAGACTCTTTTCAAATGGGACTCTGTTTTTTCTGTGTAGATATCTACTTGGACAAAATCCCACTGCAGCTCCAAACCATGACAACTRCCCCACCATGT